AAGCGTTCATATAATACAAAATCCTTATTTCACGTTAGTTATATGGAACTTGTCAAATAGTTGTACGACAACCATCATTATATGTCAGCCGGTGACTTCAACGCCAGAATGAGAGACTTCTTGGACTATATACCAAGTGATGATCTTTTACATATCAAGGGTCGGTCAGGACTGGGATGATTACCCATCAGATAGCTTTGATATGCCTAGAAATAATCGCGACAATAAACATTATAATACCTATGGTTTGAAGTCCATGCAATGAATGGAAGGTTGTTTGAGGATGTACAGGCAAATATTACTTGTGTTATAATGGTTTCAGCATAGTTGATTATGTGTTGGCCTCAACAGATTCATTCCCATACTTTATTGATTTTAGAATATTATCTCGTGATGATTAATCACATTTTCCGCGATCTTGTACACTTTCTTGGAAATTTGATAGATTAGTAGAAGCTAATTACTTAGTTAGTGTTGATAAGTCAGATGTATCTTATCATTCTAATTGTGAGTCTTGAGTGAAATATGTTTGCAACAATGACCTTGCAACAGTATTTTTAACTAAGTTTCAAGAACTATTTCTTCAATCTTGTGATTGCTTACACGCTTCAGCCAAAGATAATATTTTCAAGTGCATAGAAGATATTACTTGTTTTAAAACTAATAAAATACTGGTGTAGAATAATTCATTTAGATTACAATCGTTTACCTTAGCAATCTTACTTAATGCTTAAATACCTCGATGATGCTGGTAGAACTACTTGGGCCTCTCATGTGAGAAATATTTTTTCAATACGGTTTCGGAATTTTGTGGATACATCAAGACATTGGCAATGTGAAAATGTTTATTTCTATTTTTAAACAGCGATTATGTGACTCCTTGAGCCAGGAATGGCACTGTATTACTCCACAGTTGAGCAAGTGTCAAACTTATTGTCAATTTAAAACAATATTACATGTTCAGTCTTATCTTTCAATTGACATTCAACAACATTTAAGAACTATTATCTGTAAATTCAGGTGTAATAATTTCAGGCTAGCTATTGAAACAGGAATGCATTGCAATTTAATAGCTAGTGAAAGATTTGCTTATATTGTTATTGTAAAAAATTTGTAGAAGTCTTGATGATCTGTCAGCACTATGAAGCCCAAATATCTTCATAATAGTATAAGAAATAGCTCTTCTATGGACAATTTTGTTAGAATTATGTCAAGTACTGATAAAAAATGTAATATTAAATTTGTTTTTAAGTTTTAGGATAAGAAATACAACAAATTAAAATTATATCTTCAGTATTTATGCTGAAATATTATTTGATAGTTTAGTGCAGCATCTATATTATTTTACGAGAGCATATTTGTTCCGGTGGTGACCAAATACCTGTAAGAAGACAAGAATGAATACACTTATGAAAAATTGTTTTGTAATATGGGCCATGGCCTTGAATACTTGAAATATATTGTCATTCTATCTGTCTGTCTGTCTGTCAAAATACTTATGATTCACAACGGCGACATGTCCAAAACACAGATGGCTGATAGTTCTTACGTAAATGCCAGCGAGTACTCTTTCAAAATAATATGTTCAAAATATTGCAGTAAAGTTAATTTCTAAGAAACATTTCACATGTCGAACTTTTTGCCTCTTGAAATTCTGGAATACACAGTCGGAATTCACGAAGAAATGCTAAGTATTTCAACTGAAAACACGCAATCGTCGAAAACAGGTAACCACAATCGCTAGATATTCTGCTTTCGTATTTTAACCTCTCATATGAAATAAGTTATTGATTTTACCTGTCACACACGACTCTATTAGAAAATAGCGGTTTCGAGTGATCGAGTCTGCCATGTTTGTTTGTCCTTCACTTTCAATCTGCTCGCATCAACGACGAGCTGCTCTCTGATTGGTTAAAAAATAAAATACCCGTATTATTTTCAGCAATACAAGCACATGTGCCATAACGATTTGAAGATTTATAAATCTTAAAGGTCGCACCCCAAAGATAAATTTGATACTGATACCTTACAGTGACATATATAGTGTAACAATGTTCCAGGTGTGCTATATATAGTTTTGTGCTATATTTAGAGTTGTGGGTTGAGTTGAGAGATAACCTTTGCTCGCACTTCACATTACATCACAAGAAAAGAGAGATCATTGCCGTGCACCGCCTATTTCTCGTAAACGCGTTCTCGGCACTGATCCAACTTATCCTTGTTCGCCAGTAGTTAGACTACTGTTTCTGAGAAGTGAATATTATCGTCGCTGTCTCTATTGATATAATCGCTGCTGTTATATTCTCTTCGAAAAAAAAGAAATTTGACATGGGAAAAATTTGAATTTAGGAAAATATTCGGCACAAACTAATCCATGCTGAATCCCAACATGTGGGGGAATGTTTGCCGACGACAAAACGTTTGGAAAAAGAAAGTTGAACAAAAACGTTACATTACACTAACGCCTGTCGTGAATCGCTAAAACGTACCCTATATGAAATGCACGTGCATCATTAAATTGTGTATCAGCCTGAGCTGAAGTCTATAACTGTAGGCTTTAAAAGCCACATCAATGGTACTCAACATGCATTGCTTTTAAACCACTATAGACGACAAGAGAATGAAAAGACCGACAGAAGCTCAACGACACAACGCCATCGACCGTTTACAAGGACGGGCATCGCAGCATGAGGTTGCAAGGCACTTCAGCGTGTCCAGAGCGACCATCTCAAACCTATGGACCCGATACAACAATACTAGGAGCGTTAATGACAGACCCAGGTCAGGTCGACCTAGAGTTAAAAGCGCCGCCCAGGATCACTATATCCGGTTGAGACATCTTCATTCAAATGCCACGGCCGCATCATCCACAACAATCCAAATCCCTGGACTGCGCCGAATCTACGACCAGACATTGCGCAATTGGCTATGGGAAGCCAGACTTTTGCCAGAAGACCAGATTAATGTCACGTCGTTCCCTTCAACATCAACAGTTGATGCTCGACCTCACGTTGAACGTGTTTTGACAGGACTTCCTCCAGCAAAACAATGTTCAGGGGTTACCTTCACCTTCTCGATCACCCAATTTGTCCGCCATTGAACACCTATTGGATACTCTTGATCGACGCTTGCGCCAGCGTATTCCACCACCTCAGATAAAACAAGAACTGCACACAGCACTTCATCAAGAGTATCAAAACATTCCTCAAGACAGCATTCGGCATCTCCTTTCTTCTATGGGTCACCGCTATCGATTTTCATGGTGGTCACACCAGATACTGACATTTTACTCTGACCAAGTCGCTTTAATAGCCCTCTGTAGTTTTACCAAACATTTTCTGGATAATAATGTGTTGGAAATTTGTAAAGTGATGGTTTTACTGTAATTGAGCAATGATGTCATGTTTGAATCAGTTATATGTACTCAGTAAGTAAACTTCAAAACAGCACGTCAAGTTCCTTTTTTTTTTGAAGAGTATATTACATGTATATTACCACTGAACTTGTACTACCACACTATTTTGTACTGCCGTGGAGATACATTGTGTTGATTTGTGAACTTATAGACTCTGTTAGTTAATTTAACAATTGGGGTGGCCTTACCATCGTGCTACATCCCACTCGTCAACAACACGTGCAAAGAAGGCTTGCACTTTCGCTTTGGAATTCCCGAACATGGTCCAGTTAGAGCTTTTAGCACATACTGCAAATCTGAAAGAAAATATTGTTCTGGAACATTCTACAGGATTTGTTTCAAAACATTCTCCTTGACGTCTTTATCTGCGAATAATGTTTGTATATGCTACTTTCAGAACCTTCTGGTGCTGGTGCTACTTCTGGAACTCCCAGTGTCTAAGAATGTTATCACATCAATACAAGCTGCGAGTCGAGATGCTAGCTACGTTGCAACTAATAATGCAAGTAACGGTGAACGTCCGGATGTATGTAATGGTGCAAGTCAAGATACACGCAATAATGCAGATCAAGATACAAGTGATGATGCACATCAACATGTGAATCAAGATCAGTGTGTGCCGTGCAACTGTCAATACGATGGAGAGAGAGTCATAGCTGATTGTAGGAATAGGCAACTTGACAAAGTCCCATCACATCTACTATCCAACATAACTGATCTCAATCTTTCAGGAAACTACATAGGTCGCTTGGAAAATGGATCTCTCAGTTATGCACATCTTACCAGATTGGATGTGTCTTTCAATTGTCTCAAGGACATTGAACTCGGCGCGTTTCAAGAGCTAAGAAACCTTGAAGTTTTGGATCTCACTCACAATCATCTATCGCCAACAAAGGTCTATCGGGACGGGTTATTCAAACACCAGGCCAAACTTAAAGTACTTTACATTAACCAAAATGTTGAATCTCGTCCTTATGACGAAAGCTTAAACCGAACAGTGGAAAGCCGACCATTGAAAGACAGCTCAAATTCTAGTTTCATTGAGAAAGACATTCACCATATGCATTCTGGAAACCACTTTGGACGAGATGCTTACCCGGGCTGTGCATTCAAATCCTTAATCTCCTTACAAGATCTGCGCATTGATGGACCGATAGAACTATACTTTGGAAAGGGATTCACATTGAAGCAGCTCCAGTCATTATCACTAGGGGAAAGTTAAGGACGTGTTACACGCGTTACTTGAGGAATGACACATTTGTTGATGTGCCTCACTTACAGACTCTGGATGTGTCATACTGTCTGTTGATTGACATTGAAATATCATCTTTTGAAGTTTTAAAGAATCTTACATCCCTCCTCGTGTCACATAACAGATATCTGGGAATTACAAAAATGGGACAAGCTACGTATGGACTGCAGAATTCGTCTCTGAGAACACTAAACGTAAATAGAATAGGCCGAATGATGGGGCGTAGTACACTGTTGACAGTTGAAGATGTCAAATATCTAAAGAATACCAGGTTAGAAGAATTGTACATTGAAGCAAACAGAATAGAAATGATTGATAAAAATGTAATTATTAACCTTCCAACGTCTCTCAAAAAATATCTATCAAAGAGAATCACCTTTCGTTTGGGCTTTACTTGATGGAATTGTCGGTGTTGACAGATTTGGAGTGGGTAGATACGTCGCATCAAGGTACATCATCAATATCCTTCTTTGACACTACAAGCCTTCATTCGCGTCACCTTCTTCAACTGGATAAATATAACAAACCTTTCACGGGAAATGTTACAATTTATGTGCCTCCAAATGTTACATTTATCGATGCAAGTCATTCAAAAATGGCCTATGAAGTCATACGTTTCCAAATTGGTGAAAACAAAATTCGGGAGATAGATATATCGTTTAATTATTTTTCCTTGTGGACGGGTCCCATCATAGGATTAACACACCTAGAAAAATTACATGCTTCTAACAATTTCCTCGAATACCTTGCTGAAGGAGTTTTTTCATACTTTCCATCCTTGAAGTATCTGGATATCAGTTCCAATTATTTTGGATATACCCTCACGAATGACACATTTGGTGAAATGCCTTTGCTGGAACACCTTGACTTATCAAATAATAAAATAAGTTCACTTCCAAAGCTGATCTTCAAAAATAGCAGTCGGCTTAAATTCTTAAATTTAGGTTCTAATTATATGATGTCCTGGAAAATCGAAATAATCAATTTCAATATGACAGTCATCAATTTATCAAGAAACGCTTTTGATGAAATTCCATCTCTTTTGCGCCATCAAGTCAGATGCATGGTGAGACGTGATTTTCAGCTTCACTTTAAAGACAACCCTCTCAAGTGCAATTGCTTGACACTGAACTCACTGAAATGGATGATAGATAATTCTTTTAAATTACCTGGTCTTGATAACATGATCTGCGTGGATGACAGCAACAGACAACTATTCTTGAAAGACATCCATCAGATCGTTTTTGACCTTGACAAAAAGTGTACCTCCTACTTAGGTTTATCTATCGGTGTCCTCTGCCTTGTGATGCTTGTTCTAAGCTTGTCCATAACAGGAATAGTGTACAGGTTTAGATGGAAATTGAGGTATCTTTACTATCTGGTACGAATAAAACACCGGGGTTATCTGGCTGCGGAGGAGGAAGAAGATGGTGGACCTCAGTTTGAGTTTGATGCTTTCATCTCCTATGCTGACGAGGACCGAGGATTTGTTGTGGAGGACATGAGGCGGATATTGGAAGGACAGCAGGGACTTCGACTCTGTATCCACCATCGAGACTTTCTTTGTGGGGAAGCTATTGCTGCAAACATCCTGCATGCCATCAGATCAAGCAGGAGGACAGTGATAATCCTGTCAAGGAACTTCCTGAAGAGCTACTGGTGTAAGTACGAAGTGGAGATGGCTAAGATGGAGAGTATCTACACTGGACGGAACACACTGCTGGTGGTAATCCTGGAGAAGATCCCAGTGAAGAATCTGCCCCCTAACATTGTGGAATTAATGCGTCAAGACTCCTACTTGGAGTACACGGATGATCGGGAAGGTCAGGAGGTGTTCTGGGAAAGTCTTCAACGTGCTGTACATACTGCGTAGTTGCTTGCCTAGATATGGGAGCATGTGCTTCATAACTGAACTTCCCTTTATCATTTCTAATTTCATACTTTTCACATTGGTGAAACTTTAGTGATATATTATATTATCGGTTTCTTTGAGGAAAGTTAGCAATAGCAGTTCAAACACTACGTTACAGCAGTACACAATGTAAATATATGTTTGTAGGGATTTGATCATTTTCTGACATGGAACTGAAATGTCAACAGATCAAACATGTACTTTAACGTGATTGTTTACTAAAATCAACCAGTCACTGAAGCTAGAACCCATGTCACAAAACCTGTCGTAAGCTCCATCTCATCATAATGTTTGTGTTCATTTGTTTTCCTTCATATCAGTTTTATATAATTGTTTGTATTTTCCCGAATATGGGATAATATCCACTGTATCTATGAGCAGACATATATCTGCAATTGTTTCGTTTGTTTACGATCTTTAAATAAATGTTTGCTTTTATATGTAGTTAAGAACTGTTTTTTCTCACAGGGATGAGTGAGTGATGCTTAACGCTGCTCTGTGGTTTTGTAAACAGGCCTAATGTTACCCAATGTGAGTACAACAACTGCCTTGATAATTCCTTGAACACTAACTGTGATGTTGTGAACAGGACTAATGTTACCCAATGTCAATACAACAAGAAGACAAAGTGGTCAATATCCCCCCGCAATGGCAAAATACTCTTCATGAATATGTCTAAGAGTTATGATTATGTCAAATGTTTTGGTGTGTATATAGAAAAGTGGAAGGAGAGTATTGAAAGGTTTTCAAAGTTCTGCTCCAGAAAGAAGCAATACCACCAGATTCTAAGTCAAACTTTTGGCATGGAAATGCAAAGAAATTTATTCAGAAATCCAAAACTACCAAAAGGCACCAGTACACCACCAGACCAATCTATGTGCCAAGTTTGGTGACGAAATAGTGAACGGTTTTAGAGTTCTACTCCGGAAAAGACCGGAGGTGCATTTAATACCCCCGCAAAACGCTGCGGGGGATAATAACTGCCTTCATAATACCTTGAATACTAACTGTGATGAAGGAAAACCAAGTTCTCTGGATAGTCAACTTCTTCATTGCAATGGGTGCGACGTTTCGGTGTAACTTCTTTATTACAATGGGGCCGACGTTTCGGTGTAGGTACTTGCTTGATAACGGTGTTAGTACCTACACCGAAAAGTCGCACCCATTGCAATAAAGAAGTTGACTATCCATACAACTTGGTTTTCCTTCATCTATACAACTTCTAAAATGCCTCTCAAAGAAGTTACTAACTGTGATGTTGTGAACAGGTCTAAAGTTGTCCCATGGCTTCACAACTACATTAATAATTCCTTGAATACTAACTCGGATGTTGTAAACAGGTCTAAAGTTACCGACCGCCTCCGTGGTGTAGTGGTTAGAGCGTCCGCCCGAGAGCGGAAGGTCGCGGGTTCAATCCCCGACCGCGTCATACCTAAAGACGTTAAAATATGGTACTTGTTGGTCCCTGTCTGGCGCTCGGCATTAATGGGTACAACAAGGACTGGTCGGCTCGGAGTCAGTATAATGTGTCTGAGTGGGGTATTCATGCTTCACTGCGGCATGGTAACTCAGTGGGCTAGCACTATAAAACCAGCTTCAGTCTGGGCTAGTACAAGCAGCCGCACATACACATACACACGCATGCACGTCGTCATATGAGCGAAATATTCTCAAGCACGACGTTAAACCCAATTTCACCTCATCTAAAGTTACCCAATGTCTAATATATACACCAACTACCCTGAAAAGAATATGAATAATAATAGCGAGGAGATAAACACATCTCCAATCCCTATAATCTGTTTTCGTAAACTATGTGTAATTGGCGATTTTAAATTCGAAACGGGAATGGGTATTGCTATTTGCTGCAGACACGAATGTCAGCCTGAACAGGTCCAGATTTTAACCTTTACCTGGAGGTTTGTTTTATCACAGGAAGCAGTTGAGTTTAGTGATAATTTATTTTTAGGTTAGCTATAACCTAAAACCAAGCTAGATGGTACTTGTTCACTTAGCTATAGTACATGAAATATGGACATTCTGCATCAATTCTCTAGTATAGTGCATGTTATCTAAACGACATACCTAATCGTAGGAAATCGCGCAGGACAATGCATATTTTACACACGCAGTAATATCGTGGGCGCAAGCCTAATGAATGATTGCTTCGCTCAACGCTTATTCCCCTTTCACTATGACCTAGTACTGCAGCTAGCATTGTGGGTGTTATACGGGCTGGCCTGTTTTTAACACAGTGCAGTGCACAGTGACAACACAGGAAGACTCATTCATCACCACTCGCCCTTTCCGTAACCTCGCTATTCGGCTTGTCCCGGAATAACACGAGTTGGTCACGAATGAGGAAGACTCAGACCATCAGTAATGGAGTGAATGCTTATAGCGACATGGACACATCACAGAAAGTGCTGCATGCTGTCGGAGGTGTTGTTGTAGCTGTCGTGTCAGTCGTCGCTGTCAGGAAACTGATGCCTTAACCACTAGGCTACCCCACCGCCCCCATAATCTAAAGAAAAGTCCTGGGTACTTTCGTTGCTGAAACAAAAAATTTAGACAGAGCTTTTCCCTCTTCAGATCTGTCTGTAACTTTATACCGAGGGGTCTAAAATTCAAGTCTATACAACATGCAAACATTGGCAGTACTGCTAAATCACGTGAGTGTACAGGAGACACCCGTCAGTCAAGTCCGTTCAACCCCATGGATGCCAGAGGGACACATGCATGTTACTCCTCTTCAACCCTGACTTTAAAGTTGCGTAAGATTCAAAATACAGCAGGCTCGCAAATATACCTTACTATTTTATATTTCCTGATATCACCCACTGCCGTGTTAGGCAAAGCGAATTTGTTGAAAATCAGGTACATCATAAAACTCTCGTCGGTGTTCTATTATAAATGTACATATTTACTGTGAGTATTGGATTTAAAAACCCAGCATATTATGGTCTCTCATACCTGTTTTGTTTTGTCAAAGTCGAAGTCAAAAGACGTCTTAAGAAGTTTATTGTACAAAAAGCATTCGGTCCTTAAGCAAGAGAGAATTATGTATATCGTTTGTAGAGTGTAACATATAATCCTTGGAATTTCCGATTTATAAGGAAGCAAATAGATGACCCCGACGATGAAATTCAGTTATGATATGCTCAATGAAGAAATGTAAATCCAACGTCATTTAAAACATGGATAGGGGTCACGTTGGTTTCGTGGTATTAAATGGTTTAATTGAATGTAAGTAAGTGAGGTTCTGCGTTTTAATCAAAACATTATTTTTAGTATGCTTTAGTTTCCATGGAAACTCAAGTCAAATTTAAGTATTTCGCATTTCCCAACAAAACTTTAATTCGAAGAATGTGGACATGTTTAAGGTAAAACTTTCATAGAAATTGAATTCATGTAAATGAGTAACGAGTGCCTGGTCAGGTCGGGTAAAGCTACCCGAGTACCCGAGTCCAGAACTTCTGTTCCGTGACGATCCGGGTTAGAATTGGTCTTCAGTAACCCATGCTTGTTGTAAGAGGTGACTTATGCGATCGGTTGGTCAGGCTCGCTGACTTGGTTGACACATGTCATCGTATCCCAATGGTAGATGCTCATGATGTTGATGATTGGATTGTCTGGTCCAGATTCGATTATTTAAAGACTGCTGCCATATAGCTGGCATATTAATTAGCGCCGTTAAGCAACAAACCAACAAGAAAAAGTAAAAAGTACAGTAAAGGTTGACGTGGCAGATAAGTGACTGTACAGTCCATGTATGGTTTGTATTATTATCTATAACTGCGTAATGTACAAACATAGTCTCAATTTCCACACAGGAGTGTCCCTGGCTAGGGCAGACTTGTTAACCCCTTCATCATCCATGTGGTAAGGATATCATTCACATTATCTTGTTCTGAATTTACATTTTCGAAACAGACCAGCGGTTTGTTTGAAGAGGAAGTTTCTCTTTGAAGTCTCGCACACAGAAATAACTCTCACGATCAGCTGTTTGAGAAAAAAACGGAATTTCAATTTTTTATTCCGTAATGTTCAGCAGCTTGTTTGAACGGGGTATGCCTGACAAGGCTGTAAGTCGCTCACATATTAGGCAGTATATATTGTGTCCGTTCTCAATTTTCCTTCACCTTTTGAAACAATATCGTCGTACAGTTCTTTTTGTTGCACGATAATAGAAATTTACTGTGTTTATACTCATAACTAAATCTCGGAAACCACATTGTTTTTATCAGCCGCTTTAATAAGTGCAGTTACATTTACACCATGATTACTTATATAGTCAAACGCTAACTACTTCACGTATCGATACGTACATTCCGTTATTCTCCATAACACCCTGGAGCGATGGGGTAGCCTAGCCGTTAAAGCGTTACGCCGAAGGCCCGTGTTCGATTCCCCACATGGGCACAATGTGTGAAGCCCATTTCTGGTGTCCCCCGCCGTGATGTTGCTGGAATATTGCTAAAAGCTGCGTAAAACCCAACTCACTCACTCACAACTCCCTAGTTTAGAATCACAGATGTCAGCAATATAAAATGCCAGGATGAATGAAGCGAAATAAACTAGATGTTGAAAAGGACGCCATGCTCGGAGAAGTGAACTTGTGTGAAATACTACTAATAACAAAGCAAAATTCAGATTTTTTACTTTGTAGCAACAACGAGATTCGTTCGTCTTTTCAGCACATCAGATCAATATCTAAGAATATGCATGGGAATAGTGTCGTATCAAGAATTAGGCTGGAAAAATCGATAGATCTTATTGATTTCAATAATTACAGAAATTGTCAACAATCCATGATGCAAAATCTTGCACTACGACCACGACTTATTCCATTCTGCATTTTGACTAATCCTCCTGGTTACAATAGAAAACATTTAAACAAAAAGTATATACATAGATTTCTGGGAACTTTTAAACTGCCGTGCAAGAGCAAATATTCAATCTTAGTAATTAACAGAAAATGAATTAAACTGAAACTGGTCATTTAAGAGTAATGTATGTGGTACGGGTATCATAATTGTGTTTTGGATTCAAACCTTGCAGTGTTTCGGTCAATGTTTTCTGCCTAGTACTGTTTTGTCAAAAAACTCTTGGTCAAATCCTGCTGCCCCTTTCAAACTTCCCGGCACTTTAGAATGAAACAAAAGCAAAATATTCTACTAAACATAACACAGGGTGGAAGCGCTGTCCACGCGAAATGTGGAGTTGCCCCAAAAGCAACTCCATTTCCTTGCTGGACAGTGAAAGTCAAACATGTGGCGCAAGAGTAATGGTAAGTTTTCCCTCGCATTTTCATTATATTGCAAGTATATCAGGTTTTGCCATTTGGCAGAAGGGACTAGAAATTTACAGATCTTTCTGTAATAGCTTGACACCCTCTCTATTTATTGCAATTGTGCGTTAAGCGAGGGCACCCTCCT